AATTATCTTTATTCATCAACATTCACAATGACACGCTAACAACACTAACAAACAACTCACGATATTTTAAAAAAAAATGGTATTGTAAAATTTTCATTAAATGATATCAAAGTACATGATCCAGTTATTTAATAAATAAATAAGTAGATTGATGTTAAACATTGCGATGGGAATAAATTAATGTCAAGATTTGTCTCGTTAAAAAAATGAACACCAGAATGCATTGTCATAAATTTACTTACAAATAGTGATGAAATCAATCTACTGTCCAATGTATCATGAATACCGTAGACGTGCTAATCATAGATTCGCGTGGAAACTTACACTTCAAACATTGAGAAAGTTGCAGGCCGCAGTGTTCACGTCAATATTGTTATGGTATCGCATAAATTCTCACATTTAAAAAATTAAATTAAAAATATCAAAATAAAACATAATTACAATGATTTAAAGACGGGAAATTTTGCAAGGGATGTAATTCATTAAATGACATAACAATAAATAAAAACATTTTCACCTCCCTTGTTTACATCATTTAAAAAAAAAAATTGTGTTGTAAATTCGGAGAGTATCCCGAACATATTGGAATCAACCCGACGGTAATATCTCTCACGACAGGTACACTTTGTCATGTTATAAGCCGCAGGCCAGATGTGGCCCGTGGGCCGTAGTTTTCCTGACCCCCTGATGTAGTGGTTAGGATGTATCCACCAACATAGTTTGAAAGTTTTGCAAACGCATTTTGCTTTTACTAATAACGTCACTTTGGAGATGGTGTCGGCGGGTCGTCGAGTTCGCACTCATAATACCCCCCGCCCCGGCACTCCCCCACAGGGGCCAGAGCCAGGTCTCCCCGACTCCAGGCCATGCGGAAGCGCGCCAGGAACCTCCCTCCTGGCCTGAGAGACGTCCGGTCGACCGAAGACGCTGCGTTTAAAGCGTCCGCAGTCCACTCTCCGATGGGTCGGGTCGGCTTTACTTCCTCTCCGGGGAGGTGGTGTTGCGTTACCACTCCCTACCACCCAGGGAGTTGTCCGGTCGGGACGTAGCGGGGACGAAACTTTGCTTTTACTAAATTTTTAGGCCATAGAAGTGTTTTAGGTCACCAGTCAAGAAATATAATAAATATAATTCTCTAGTTATGAAAGAATGTTTTGTGTAACAATGAGTTCAATGGCGTAATATAAATTACCGGATGACTGCGCTGAAGAAAATTCTTACAAAATACCGGAAATATTTCAATTAAAATATGATATCTTTAATCTGCAATGTGGAACGGGGTGGAACACTAGAATATTAATATAGTTCAGGAGCGTAAAAAAAAGTGTACCTGCGAGTGAAAAAAAAAGTGGGGAAGGGGGGTGGGGGTAGGCCTAATTGTGATTCTTATAAAGTGCGTTACTTAAATGCATGTAAGTAGATCAGATGTTCATGCATTGCCACCAGAAGTGTGTCCTGTTTTGGCGTTGTATCTACACGATTTGTTGTACACCAACGTATTCTAACAAACAGCCTGAGAAAAAAAAAGGTTAATTTGAGAACCGCTGGTACGGCACTTAAAATTTACCAACATCTACGGGCGTATAAGAATTCACACGGAATTTCAAGATGGAGAATGAAGGTAAATTTGACATTTTGAGTAAAAATGGATGTAGAATCAATGGAAGGTGGCATGCAAATTCAGCGTAGATTTAAAGTGTATTTGCAATCAGTCTTTGCCAATCAATACCAGATATATTTTTTATACCATTGGGATAAACTGTGACACTATTCTGTTTCGAAATTTTAAAGCATTTTTGATCCAAAAACTAGACAATCAGCAAGCAAACAATTCATTAGACAATCAGCAAGCACACAATTCAATGACGTCAAACAACGAGCAAACAATTCAATGACGTCAGAATCACCGGGGTATGTTCGAATTCTTTTATTTCTTTAACAACATAAATCCACATTATATGAGGAATGAATATTTATGTAATCACATTTTAATGTATAAATACAAGGTTTCATGACAATAATTACACAATTTATATATGAATGCACATTATTTATTACGTTACCAAATGACATAGTTAGAAGATCTTGGAATAAAAGTAGATTAAAACACGCAATTTGATATATCTGTGTGTGTGTTTGTGTGTGTAATCCTTCCAAGCTCCAGATTCTTAAATTAATAAAACAGGGTTATAAGGATCACATGCTTCAGCTCGTTAATTCCCCTACTTCAGCCCCTTTAATTCCCCCACTTCAGTCCCTTTAATACCTCCTACCCAGTCCCTTTAATTCCCCTAATTCATTCCCTTTAATTCTCCCGCTTCAGCCCCTTTAATCCCCCTGCTACAGTCCCTTTAATTCCCCTGCTTCAGCCCCTTTAATTCCCCTACTTCAGTCCCTTTAATTCCCCTAATTCATTCCCTTTAATTCTTCCACTTCAGCCCCTTTAATTCGCCTGCTACAGTCCCTTTAATTCCCCTGCTTCAGCCCCTTTAATTCTCCCGCTTCAGTCCCTTTAATCCCTCCTACTCAGTCCCCTTAATTCCCCTGCTTCAGCCCCTTTAATTCTCCCGCTTCAGTCCCTTTAATCCCCCTGCTTCAGCGCCTTTAATTCCCCTACTTCAGTCCCTTTAATTCCCCTAATTCATTCCCTTTAATTCTCCCGCTTCAGTCCCTTTAATCCCCCTGCTTCAGCCCCTTTAATTCCCATACTTCAGCCCCTTTAATTCCCCTGCTACAGTCCCTTTAATTCCCCTGCTTCAGCCCCTTTAATTCCCTTGCTTCCCCGTAAGGTGGGCCACGAAGCGGCCCGCCCTGAAGCTCCACCACCCCAGTTTACCATTCTCAACTTCTTTGTCACAAGAGAGTGAGTTTCACGGCTCTGTTCTCGGCCGATATCTGAAGGTCACAGAACTTCGTGACGGGGAGGGTAAGGATTCCTTAAGTCATGATCTTATACTCTTACGTCACTCTGGACCGTAAGGTAGACATTAAAGGTGTAATATACAAAAAAAAAAATTAGTTGCAACAAAGACAGTGTTACCCGTATGTAGTAAAAAATGTAGTTATTGAATTTACAAATGAATCTTTAAAGCTATTTATATTACAATAATGTTGACTCGCAGACAAATGTGAAATTAAAGAGTTCCAAATATAGTTGATACGTCTTCTCTTCTTCTATATTTTGAGGGCCCACGATCAATGTTTTGAATATTGATCATTCTGGCTCCTATAGTGAAGTAAGTGGCTTTTAGCAAATGATATTCAATTTGAAGTGGTCACGGTTTGCGAGATTACACAGTTTGCTCCATGTATCAAACAACGGCTCAATTATAATGACATAAATAAGAGTTGGCATTTAATTATGATCATGTGTCAGTTGTAAATACATACATGTGTAAAGCTGTAAAGGCATATTTACATTTTTTTAAAAATTGTATTAATATCATATATGTATATGAAGTTGCAAATTTTATTTGCCATAACACACATACATAAATGTGAATGTATAAGTTGCTAAATCAAAGAAATAAATTCTTCACTTTAACGTGAACAATCATTAATTGTTAATTTAAATTAATAATTTTTTTTTTAAAACGTCTGAAGTCCCCACCGATGAAGGGGAGATTATTCACATTATTTGGACAGCTTATAACGATTGTCTTGTCCCGGGTAAAATTGTATTTACGATAATCGTGTATTGTAATAAGTAAACAGTGTAAATATGTATATACTTTATTTTAAAACACTTATTGATATACGACGCAACGAAGCCATCCAGCTGAAGCACCCCCACATTTTCCCTAAACCCAGTAGGTGGACCTCCATGGCAAGATGTATAGTTTCCTACCAGGTGGACCTCCATGGCAAGATGTATAGTTTCCTACCAGGTGGACCTCCATGGCAAGATGTATAGTTTCCTACCAGGTGGACCACCATGGCAAGATGTATAGTTTCCTACCAGGTGGACCACCATGGCAAGATGTATATTTTCCTACCATCGGCGGCACTCATCCAAATACAGCCACAAATCCATTAACGGTACCTGTAGTCACGGCAACAAATCAAGTAGTATGACCTTGTTTTGCATTGCCCTGAATCGTCGACCAAATATAGAGAATCAAGACCCCCCCCCCACACTTTTTTTTACCCCCCTCCCCACCCCGGAGTAGCAAATACCGGTCAGTACGGTAGGGTAGGGTTGTCAGATATTTTTTTCTTCCAAAAAATTCAGGTGAAACCTCTTACCGGATATTGTATTTATTACCCGGACATTTCGCGGAAGTACTGCACTTGACCTGAACTTGACGTCATCAACTCATCTCTTAAATAAAATTAAGCCTTCATTAAGTACCGTATTTACTCGCGTAAAATTCGCACCAAAGAATAGGTCACTCCTTTAGTATGGGAAGGGATATGCCTCTTTTTATAACGTACATATGAATACTATCTGTTAACAGACACCTGAGAAACGTTTCTATGACAACCCAAAAACAGAAAAGCAATCGCCGTAAAGAGCGTAAAGGAGCGCACGTGAAGGAAAGACTTCCCTGACTTTTCATATACATTATAAATGTCTACTCCAAAACTGAATAACAGTAAGCGAAACTGATGTCGAATGAATAAGTTGGACCCCTAAAACAAAAAGTGAGACCTACACGCGAGAATGGACGGTAATGGCATTGTAACAATATTATAACAAAAACACATTATAAAATGCACTATTAACAATTTTAAATTAAACAACAATAAATTACATTAAAGTGAAAGACTTACGTGAGGACCGAGTCGAGCCCCACAGACCCACTTTGATTCTACCACATATTTCACAAAGCGATATTTAAAAAAAAAAAAAACTAAAACTGCGCGCCCTTTGTCCAGGTGTACTCAATGATGTGTTCAGGGTACGTCTGATTGTGGTCGAAGATGACGAATGTCTTTGGACTGAAGATGTCGTCCACGCACGAGTCGTACAGCTTCACGTGCGGATCCCGTGCGTCACAGGGGGGCGGCCGCCTCAGATCCGGGTGCCCTTGCGTGTAGCGCCCCACCAGCACGCGGGAGGAGATCACGAAGTGGCTCCGCGGGTGAGCCAGACGGTTGAATACGTGGCCGACGTCTGACGTGCCTATCTGGAATAAAGGCGGGAAAACGCAGGGCATCTGGCACTCGCTGTTGGCCGATGGGGACGCTGGACCGCTCAAGGGTGGATCCGGGTCTGCTGGCGGCTGCTGCATTAAGAGAACCTCCGGGGAGGGGTACGGTATAAACAGGGGCGTCCAGGCAGGGGGGCCATTTTTCCAGCGGGAGCTGATTCTGTCGCCACCGCAGTCTGTGAATGAGTGAGCATATCTCGCTTCTCTGGTAAAGTACGTACCTGAGAAAAATGTCAGCAGACGTCAATGTTACTTATATATTGAAATAACGCACCGAGCCGTGAGAAGGAACACATGCAGATGGGGCGAAGCCTGAAACTGGGGCCCATCATTTGTCTTTCATAAATAGCTAATGAAATAAATAGGCATATAAAATATACACATTGATAATTGACGATTTTCTAGCTCCCTGATGAAGGCATCCGAGGCGGCTGCCCCATGCAGCCACCATTCGCAGGGCACTAAGTAAAACACTTATTTTGATTAATTTAGTATAAGAGTATGTTTTGTCGTTCTAGCCATGTGCACTAAATATTGGCTTCGTCCCAGAAACACTAGCACATCTGTTGACAGAGTGCCCTTCACTAGAGGTTTCGGGGGAGGCCAGGGCGGCGGGAGAGCCCTACGTGAGAAGAATGTTACATGGCTCAGCTCAGCAGATGAAGCTACTTGCCAATGTACTAAATATGTTCATTGGGAAATGGCGTCGGTGGGCCATCGAGCGTGAGCTCTTAATGCCCTCCCCGATGCACCTCCGCACAGCCCAGACGCCGGGTCTCCCTGACGCCGGACCGTGCGGCGGCACGCCAGGGACTTCCCCGGACCTGGACCGCCCCTACCCGCAGCCGCTCGATCGGATTTGCGGATGGAAGCTTTCCCCGCCCGGTGACTTCCGGTCGACCGAAAACGCCGCGTTAAAAGCGTTCGCAGCCGACTCTCCCGGGAAGTCAGGATGGTAAATTTAAGTCCTAATATCTTCCCCCACCCATCCCGGGGAAGCGTCGGACTGTAATTTATATCATATCTCTATTTGTATATCTTTTCTCAAAGGATTTTTAGAAATGCAAATAAAAAAAATGCCCAAACGCTTGCCATTGTATCATGTCCAACTAAGTCTTCACCATATCAATTAACCATGTAACGTAGATTTAAAACGTAAGATCTTCGTATAAATCCTTTATATGAATGTTTGTTTGTGATTTATACCGTGATTTATCATTTATTAAGAAGCGCTTATGTTAATGGGGAAACTTCTTTGAAAACACGTTCTATATTTCATTCATTTTCCCCTTCAACAATCATCTTATTTTTTAATAACAAAGGTCTTTGTTAAGGGAGTTAAGCCGTAAAAACTTTTTATTAGGGGTGAAACTGTATGACCTTTCTTGAATCATTGCAAATCCCATCTACATGCATAGGAGCCAAAATAATCAATAAATTGATCGTGGGCCCTTAAGATATAGAAGAAGAAGAAGAATCTTCGGCATCAACAAGTATTTTGAAAAATCGGAAACATGATTTTTGGGGGGTTTGCGGGTGGGGGAGGGGGGCTGAAATGTTAAAGAATGTTTTGTCATCAGCAACTAGTCTAGATGCCGAGTTTCAGCTTGATAGGATGGCGGGAAGTGGGTCAATTAGCTTACTGAAGATGTTGCCTTTTGCCACAAAGGAACACGAACAAAAGGGAAGTTAAGATATAGGATTTGTTCTTAAAAAAATGAGTGGCTCACCTTCTCCGTACATTTTCCCGTGCTTTTGTCCTATTCGCACGTCAAAGCCTCTCCTGACGATAGCCTCGAGGTTGTCTCGATATGTCCCGTGGAACAAGCGTTTCTCATCGGGGTCAAGGCCTTTCAGATCTTGCGCCATTTGCCTGCGTTTCCTGTAATTAAAAACCTTCCTCGTGTAACACACAAACAAATAAACCAAAAATAAATAAATATTTTAAAAAAATATATTTATAACATAATACTATAATTTACATACAAAATAGTTATAGTACAATAGAGTATTTTCTCTTTTATACCACAACGCAGCTCACTTTTAATGACACCACATTTTAGAATCATGAAATAGAATCAACGAATTTTCCTTTTAAGTATGTACCACAAATGGTGACTCTAGACTAGGGGTCTAATAAATATTGAATTTGTGACGTTGGGGGCGATCATTCCACTTTGGCACGGCTAAATCACAAGAACCACATAACACATCCTCCGCGAAGCAGACAACTAGCGACATCGTATGTGTGCAGTGGACCGAGAACACTGTCGTTAAAAAAAAATAAGTTTCGCCTCGGCCGACTGTCCCCTCCACGCCCATTCTTCCCACTCCTGTGACTAAAGCAATACGATTTTCCTCTCTTAACAAATAGGTGTTAATGACTCTTAGAAAATTTTACCGCAACTCTTGTAAGCAATGATCTACATTCCCCCACCAACCAACCTTTCCCCCCCCCCCCACCACCCACCAATATTTACAATTTCTATTGCTCTTGAAATTCATGTATCCGATCCTTTAAAAATGAGGAATTCACATTAAACGAATCAAAGTTTTGTGCTTCTAATTTTATAATTTTAAATGCCGACGTCTTTNAAAAAAAAAAAAAAAAAAAAAAAAAAAAAAAAAAAAAGGGGGGGGGGGGGGGGGGGAGGGGAGGGGAATTTAAAAAAAAAAAGTATACTTTTTTTAACGTTCCTATTTCAAACGTTTAGAATGGTTCATTTGAATCGTTGTTCATAAACTATGTAAGCACTAAGACCGTCGGCCCCGTAGTGTAATGGTAAGGGAAGGGTGCGGGTATCAGTTCATCTCTGGATACATTGTCGGGTAGAAGAGATTCTTTAGCCATAATCGCGCAGTATGGGAGACTTTGAAATACCGCCACTAGCTGGGTGGCATTGGCTGACAACCACCCCCAACCCGTGACGCTGGTCACGTGGTGTGATATCTACAAACATTTTTCAAGCCTCGCTTTGAATTTGACTAGTCAGTAAGTCTCAGAAAGGTCTCCGACCTTGACATTATACCTATGTACATTGCTTGTAGATCAGGCCTGCACAACTCAAAATGCAAGGCGGGCCGTCATGCTTTATGAAAAACACGTGCGGGCCAAAAGAAAATAGGACGGGGGGAAAGCTATAAAGAAAATAATACGAATAAAGAATATTTCGTTACTTCGCGGGCCGCAAAGTCGATGTTTGCGGGCCGCATGTGGCCCGCGGGCCGTATGTTGTGCAGACCTGTTGTAGATACATAAAAAAAAACCTTACAGCACAAAGTAGGCCCACAGCATTGGGTTCTGCACTCTATGTATCCTCACTATCGTAAATTCTGGAGCGTTCAATGAACTGTGGAATCTTCCGGCAACTTCATTCCATTCTTCGGACAAAGGATAGACCACGTACAACATGGCTGGCTGTTTGGGCAAGACGACAGAAGGCAAATTTATAGGCGGGCAGAGTTTAAACAATTCAAGAATCGACTATGGACAAGAATTAAAAGTCCCCAGAATGTAGGCGCTTACGTTGACTAAATGCATCTCGCGGCGAACTCCTTTAAATCAAAAGCACACTCATATATTTTTATAATGTTAATAATAAACCCCAAAAATTAACTCCTGGGGCTGTAGCCCTATTCGTCCCCCCCCCCCACAGATACGCCTAATTCATAAGATATCTTTTGTTGTCAAAGTCCGGGTGGAAGAAACATCACAAGCACCCCGGGTGGAAGGGACATCACAAGCACCCCGGGTGGAAGGGACATCACGAGCACCGTGGGTGGAAGGGACATCACAAGCACCCTGGGTGGGAGGGACATCACCAGCACCCTGGGTGGAAGGAACATCACCAGCACCGTGGGTGGAAGGGACATCACAAGCACCCTGGGTGGAAGGGACATCACCAGCACAGTGGGTGGAAGGGACATCACAAGCACCCTGGGTGGAAGGGACATCACCAGCACCGTGGGTGGAAGGGATCCGTTAACCTTGGACTAAACCCCTGGATATGGAGTCCCGTAGGCGCATAAAATTTTCAAAATAAAAAATTCCACACAAATACTGCGACGCCACTGGTGCCAAGCTGTGTCATCCATATATGATGTTTCTTTGGGTTATCCAGGTTTGTGGATAGAGACGATTTGCCGTGTAGGGAACAATCTTATATTTGTTAAGAAAATCCCAGGCCTTGAGATGTCGTCCAGTGAAATCTGTACCATCGTCATATTGTGACAAGTCTGTACCATCGTCATATTGTGACAAGTCTGTACCATCGTCATATTGTGACAAGTCTGTACCAGCGTCATATTGTGACAAGTCTGTACCAGCGTCATATTGTGACGGACGGGTGCAAAAAGGGGGGGGGGGACACTTTAAATAAACCCATCCACTTTTAAATAGTGCTAGTATCCAGTGCTAGTATCCAAATTAAGAATGCAACTTTCATTGTATGAAAACTCATTGTATGAAAACTCATTGTATGAAAACTCATTGTATGAAAACTCATTGTATGAAAACTCATTGTATGAAAACTCATTGTATGAAAACTCACTGTATGAAAACTCATTGTATGAAAACTCATTGTATGAAAACTCATTGTATGAAAACTCATTGTATGAAAACTCATTGTATGAAAACTCATTGTATGAAAACTCATTGTATGAAAAGTTAGAATACCGTTTCTCCACCCCGGACACACTTCACTAAAATAAACTGGGCTAGGGCACAGGTCGCACACCCTAAAGGCAGGCGTTGCCCCACCCCTTGCCCCTTTTCGGCTTTAACCCCCCCTCCCCTGTATTCAAAGTGGATTGTTAACTTTTTGTTCCACACCCCAAAATTTGGGCCCCTAAAATTTCTTGAACGAAGAGGTATAGGGCCCAATCGACAGCTCTGAGTAGGCCTACATATATATCACACACGCATCACGTGCGTGTAACTTACGTGCCACGTGCGTGTTACGTGCCGTGTATAATTTTATATCATGGTGACATCATCATTTAATCTTACAACTGAGAATTAACCATGGTTACATGTTATTTACAACTTTTTACTTTTACATTCTGCAGGCTCACCATTAACGGGTGCTGGAACTCTTCTGCAGGTAAAGTTTAAAAATTCAAGACTAGAATTCAACATCTATATCTAATGGTTGCATCTTTGATTATTGTTTACATATTCTTCGATTCGCATGCTTCTCCTCTCAGAACTGTTAAATTTTTGTACGTGAAAATAATAAAGTTGCAGAATACAATTACCCGTGGTACGGTTCGATCGATTTAGTGACGAAATCAAGGCCCTCAGTTTAGCAGGCCGGGATATGAGGCCAGGATATTAGCCCGGGATATGAGGCCGGGATATGAGGCCGGGATATGAGGCCGGGATATGAGGCAGCATATGGGGCCGGGATATGAGGCCGGGATATGAGGCCAAAATATGAGGCCAGGATATGAGGCCAGGATATGAGGCCAGGATATGAGGCCACGATTGGAGGCCAGGATATGAGGCCAGGATATGAGGCCAGGATATGAGGCTGGGATATGAGGCCGGGATATGAGGCCGGATATGAGGCCGGGATATGAGGGCAGGATATGAGGCCAGGATATGAAGCCGGGATATGAGG